CAGAAATATGTCCTGGCTCTTCGGTGTGCAGAAAAACGCCACTCCCCAAATCCCAGACGATTTCCAAGCTGGAGGTCCACCAGGCCAGCCCGGCCAACCAGGCCAACCAGGCCAAAAGCAAGAGGGCAATAGCAAAATGGCCTACTCTTTCGATTCGACGGCACTAGAGCGTGCCGCTAAGGCCGCCCGTGACCTGGAACGCTTCCCGAATGCCAAGGAGGCTCTGGAGCTGTCCAGAATGCAGGAAGTCACTCGACAGAAGGAGGTGGAGAACGAGACGAAGAAGATTGAGGCACAATTGGCAAATATGAAGAGCGAGCATATCCGTGTCGCTGAGGAGGAACGTCGGAAGACACTTGGAGAGGAGACGAAGCACGCTCACTCGGTATGGGGGTTAGAATGGGGGAATTTGAGCGATTAGGAGCTCTAAAAAGCGAAAAAATCATGCGGAAAATGCTGAAAATCGCAAAAATTTGATCTAAAAGTCGAAATTTTGACAGTTTTCAAGGCATATTCGGCTTGCCCGAACAGCTTGACCTGAAAATAATGAATTTTGAGCTAAAATACTCGAAAATGATGTAAAAATGGCATTTCTAGCTGATTTTTAGCTCTAAAACGGTCCTAAAAGGCCACTTTCAGCCCAAATTCAACGTTTTCGTCATTTCCAGCGCGCCGAATACCAAGACCAACTGGCTCGTAAGCGTGCCGAGGAGGAGCTCGCGATGAAGGCTCGTATGCAAGAGGAATCGCTTCGAAAACAGGAGGAATCTGTGAAAAAGCAGGAATTGCTGAGAAAACAGACGATTGAGCACGAGCTGGCACTGAAGCACAAGTATGAGCTCGAGAAGATCGATGCGGAGACGAGGGCGAGGTAAATTTAGGGGTTTAGGGCTTGAAATTGGGCTGGAAATTGAAGGCTGGAAATTGAGTTTTAGAGCTGAAAATCGCCCTGAGAGAAAAAATGGCGGAACATTGCTATTTTTACTGGAAACTATATGAAAAATGGGCCATAAATTATGAAAATCGGAGTTTCGAGACTGAAAAATCTGAAAATAACACCTTAGAAAACATAAAAATTGCCTGAAAATCAAGAAATTTGAATCAGAGTCGACAAAATTGGATTTAGGGTCGAAATGTCATAAAACTGATCTTTGGAGTGGAAAAAATTGAAAGAGTAGCTGTTATCAAAGCCAAAAATAACAATTTTAAGCTAAAAATCGGGAAAATCGGCATGAAAATCATGAAAAATGGCTCAAAAAATGCTGAAAAATGGCTCAAAAATCATGAAAAATGACCCAAAAATGATGAAAAATCGCTCTAAAATCATGAAAATGACTCAGAAATCATGAAAATTGGCTTAAAAATCTCAATTTTCAGTTTAAAAACCCCAAATTTCTGACTCCAAAATCTCAATTTTTATATTTTTTCAACTAAAAAACTGAAAATTGGCTCAAAATTGAGCCGAAAAACACATTTTTCAAGATGAAAATAGTCCAAAATGGACCGAAAATTCTGAAAAAAAGGCCAAAAAAGGCGAAAAATCGCGGAGTCTCTGAAAATTGGACATTTTTCGTTTGAAAATTATATAAAAAACTGACTGAAAAATGGGATTTTTACTCTAAAAAGATTCGAATCGCTGAAAAATCATGAAAAATGACTCGAAAATCATGAAAATTGACCCGAAAATCATGAAAAATCGCTCTAAAATCGTGAAAAATGACTCAAAAATTATGAAAAATGACTCAAAAATCATAGTAAATATTCCAAAAATCATGATAAATCTTCCAAAAATTGATTTTTCACGATTCTGGGGTCTTTTTTCATGCTTTTTGGGTCAATTTTCATCAATTTCAATCTAAAAAATCTCAAAAAATTAGCTGAAAATCTCCAAATTTTCAGAGCCAAAGCCGCCCGCGACAACCGTGACGTCAATCTGGAACAAATGAAGCTTCACGAGGAGGAAAATCGCAAAACGGTCATCGAGAAGATCAAAACGTCGGGAGAGCTGATCGGATCGGGTCTTAATCAGTTTCTGAGTGATAAGACGAAAATCGCGGCGGCGGTTGGAGGATTAACCGCTCTCGCGGTCGGTTGGTATACGGCAAAGAGGGGTACTGGAATCACTGCGAGATATATTGAATCGAGATTGGGAAAACCCAGTTTGGTTCGAGAAACATCGAGAATCACACCGTTGGAGATTGCCAAGCACCCGATTAAGACTATTCAGGTGAGGAAAATGGGAAAAAATGGTCGAGAAATCATAGAAAATAGCTCGAAAATCATGAAAAAATGATCGAGAAATCATGAAAATTGACCCAAAATCATGAAAAATGGTTTTAAAATTACCTTTTTCTGGCCCAAAAACCTCAATTTCAATCTCCAAAACGCCCATTTTGTTGCCAAAATGAGTTTTCGAAGCCTAAAAATGGCATTTTCAATAGTAAAATCGGAATTTTTGAGTTAAAAATGTCAAAATTTTGACCCTGACAGTGTAATTTTTGAGTCCGAAAATACCAATTTTGATTTGAAGAATGCGATTTCTAGGTTCAAAAATCACAATTTAGGCCTAAAATTGCTATTTTCAGATCCAAAATTCGCAATTTAGCTTAAATATGACCTTTTCCGCTCCAAAATCACTATTTTGATCCCAAAAATGGCATTTTAGGGTCCAAAACTCCCAATTTTCACCCTAAAAATCAGATTTTTTAAGTCCAAAATTCACATTTTCGATCCTAAAAATGGTATTTGCAATTCTAAAAGCGGAGTTTTTTAGTTGTAAAAGTCAAACTTCTGATCCTAGAATCACTTTTTTGCGTTCAAAATTCGTAATTTTGCTCTTAAAAATTACTATTTTTTGGTTCAAAAGTCACTATTTTGAACCCAAAAATAGTTTTTTTTTTGGGGTCCAAAATACATGCTATTGATCCTAAAAATGCTATTTTTCAGTCCAAAAGTCACTATTTTCAGCTAAAAACCATGAAAAATGAGCAATTTTGAGCTAAAAAAAAAGATTTTTTTGGGTCCAAAAATCCCAACATTGATCGTAGAAGTCAGATTTTTTGGGTCCAAAATTCATGCTATTGATGAATGCTATTTTTAGGTCAAAATATCAAAATTTCGGTCGTGAAAATCAAATTTTTGGGCTCAAAAGTCAGCATTTTGATCACAATAATGGCATTTTTGGGTTCAAAATTCATAATTTTTATCTCAAAAATGGTATTTTTCGGTCCTGGGAAGCAGATTTTTGGGTTCAAAAGTCACCATTTTGATCCCAAAAATGACATTTTCTAGTCCAAAATCATTTTAAAAAAATGACATTTTTCGCCTGGTTTGAGCCTAAAATGACCGTAACCATTGCTCATTGTTTCCAGATGCTGACCCGTCAAAAGAAAAATCCCCTAGAAGATTCGGTATCAAAAACAACATTTTTAGGTCCAAAAAATCACAATCTTGAACCCAAAAAATGACATTTTTGGGTCTAAAACACTTTTTCGATCCCAATAAAAGCATTTTTGGGTCCGAAAATCAAAATTTCGGTCGTCAAAATATAATTTTTAGGTCCAAAAATCACAATTTTGATCCCAAAAATGCTATTTTTCGAGGTCAAATACCCTAATTTTGATCATAAAAATGTGCCATTTTTTGATCTAAAATCCGAAATTTTGACCCAAAAAATGTCATTTCTCGGTCCGAAAACCTAGAAATTTTGACGGTTTTCCGCCTGGGTTGAACTAGAAAGCCCCAATAAAACCTAAAACTCACATTTTTGGTTCTAAAAAGCACAATTTCGGTTCTAGACATGTCATTTTTAGCCATCAAATGACAATTTTCATCTGAAAATGATAATAAAATTGTCATTTTTCGGGTCTGGAAACCTACTTTGATCCTCAATATGCTATTTTTCGGGTTGAAACCCCTAATTTTTTTTTATCAGAATTTCATTTTCGGGCCCAAAAATCACAATTTCGGTTCTGAAAATCAATTTTCAGGCTCAAAAGTCTCTATATTGCTCCCGAAAATGGCATTTTTCGGCCCAAAAATCTGAAAAATGGCATTTTTCCGCTTGTTTTTTAACCTGAAATGACCCAAAATTGGTCATTGCTCATCGTTTCCAGATGCTAACCCGTCAAAAGAAGGATCCCCTCGAAGGCGTCGTCCTGTCTCCAGCACTCGAACGTCGTCTCCGTGACATCGCCATCACCACATCGAACACCAAACGAAACAATGGATTGTTCCGAAACGTCATGTTCTACGGACCGCCGGGAACCGGAAAGACGCTCTTCGCGAAGAGTCTGGCTCAACACAGCGGTCTGGACTATGCAGTTTTGACAGGAGGAGACATTGCTCCACTGGGAAGAGACGGTGTTTCGGCCATTCACAAAGTGTTCGATTGGGCTGGAAAATCGAGAAAAGGACTGATTGTTTTCATTGATGAGGCCGATGCATTCCTTCAGAAGAGATCCAAAGATGGAATGAGTGAAGACACTCGTGCCGCACTCAACGCCTTCTTGTTCAGAACTGGAGAGCAGTCGCGGAAATTCATGCTTGTCGTCGCGTCGAATCAACCGGAGCAGTTTGATTGGGCTGTTAATGATCGGTAAGGTTCGAGGATTATGGATTTTATGGTAATTTTGGCTCAAAAATTTCTCATATTCAGTGATTTTCATTGAAAAACACTTTTGCGAGTCGAAAATCAACTAAAAACCATAAAAAATGAGCAATTTCGAGCCAAAATATGCCTAAAAATAAACATCCGAACACACAGACAGACAGAAATATGGCTAAAAAATTAACGAATTTCGGGTCAAAATTGACTGAAAATGAGCTTTTTTGACTCATAAATCATGAAAAATGAGCAATTTAGGGCTGAAATTGGCCCAGAAATGCTCAAAAATTGACATCCAGTGAATTGACACAGACCGACAGGCAGTAATTCGGCTGAAATGCACTAAAAATGAGCAATTTTTAACGCCTCGAAGTCGATTATTAGAAGACATCCGGACACACAGACAGATAGACAGAAATTGGCTAAGATTAACGAATTTCGGGTCGAAATTCACTGAAAATGAGCAATTTCGGGCTGAAAATCAAGCGTTTTCAAGCCTAAATAAGTCTAAAATGCTCAAAAAAGAAATCCGGACACACAGACCGACAGGCAGGAATTTAGCTAAAAAAAAGAACAATTTCGAGCTGAAAATCATAAAAAATGAGCAATTTTCGAGCCAGAATAGGGCCAGAAATGTTCAGAAGCAAAGATTCGTGGACATCCGGACATCTAGACAGACAGACAGAAAATAGGTTAGAATTGACGAAATAAAGCGAAATATGAGCAATTCTGAACGGGAATTAAATTGCAATTTCAAAAAATTCTCAAAATTTCAAAAATCTGGAAGTTCATCTAGACGATTTTTGGCTCAAAATTGCTCATTCACAGTCATTTTTGGCTCAAAATGGAACATTTTTCAGCGATTTTCAGCCAAATTTCTGTCTGTCTTGTGTGTCCGGATGTCCATTTTTGAGGGTTTCTGGGCTCAAAATTGCTCATTTTTCATGATTTTCAGCTCAAAATCAACCGTTTTCATAGAATTTGACCCCAAAAAATCAAAATTTCCACTCATTTTATCGTCAATATTTCCAGTCTCGACCAGCTCGTCGAATTCACACTGCCAGGATTCGAGGAGCGCGAACGCATCCTCCTGCAATACTTCAACGAGCACATCGTGGTTCCAGCCACATCGGGCTCCCGCTCACAACGTCTGAAGTTGGATAAGTTCGATTGGATTTCGAAATGCAACGAAATCGCGAAGAAGACGTCTGGAATGTCTGGAAGAGAGCTGAGCAAACTGGTCATCGGATGGCAGGCATCTGCGTACGCATCGGAGACTGGCCTTCTGACGGAGGAGATTCTGGATCGGAACACGAAAGATGCCATGATTCAACACGAGCACAAAATGGAGTGGTTGGAGAAGGAACAGTTGAAGGCGCGCAATCAGGAGACCAAGTTTGGAACTACGCTGAAGAGAGAGACCGCTGTTTAATTGTTCACCATTTTTAGAGCCCCCCCCCTTTTTTTTGGCGTTTTTTGGCTGTTTTTGGTCCGGTTTTGATACTCTTTTTTAGTAGATTTTTTAGATTTTTTTTTCAGAGATTTTGGAGTGAAAAGCATAGAAAAATTGGGGAATTTTTGAGCTAAAAATGGGCGAAAATTGACTATTTTTGAGGCTGAAAATTGGCTAGAATTTCGGGATTTTCGAGCTAAAAATCAGTGAAAATGACGATTGAAAATAGGCGAAAAATGAGGATTTTAAAAAAATCTGAAACTGGCTGAAGTTGCGATTTTTGAGCTTAAAATGAGCGGAAAATACGATTTTTGAAGCTGAAAATGTCTTTTGAAATCAAAAATGTTCAAATTAATTCAGTTTTTTAAAGCTCGAAATGACCGAAATTCGGTTTTTCTAGGCTTTGAATTGTTGAAAAAATGCCGATTTTAAAGCTTTTTTTTGCTGAAAAATGGCTGAGATTCTAGTGTTTTTCTCAGCTGAAAATGAGCGAAAAAATAACGATTTTGAAGGCTATAAAATGTCTGAAAAACGACGTTATTTTCGACGATTTTCAATCGTTTTGCGGCTTTAAATTGCTTAAAATCTCAAACAAATGGCCGAAAATCGTGTCATTTTTGAGCTGAAAATTGTTAAAAATCTGAAAAACAATGCCTGAAATTTTGGTTTTTTTGTTGTTTCTAGCGATTTTGAGTTGAAAAAGACACGTTTGAGCTTTTTTTTTCAATCTTCAGCGAAAAAATCAGCCGAAATATTCAGAAATTTCTGGGTCACGACCCAATTTTCGGGTTTCTAGGTCAATTTGATATTTTTGGCTCAAAAATTCCCGAATTTTCGATTTTTCCCCCCTAAAAGCTGATTTTTCTTTTTTTTTGTTGTTTTCTTAGATCAAAAATCACCGTTTTATTGATTTTTTTCCTCCAAAATTTTCCATTTTTCAATTGTTTTTTTTTCTAAAATTTCCGGTAAAAATTCCCATTTTTTGTGTTTTTTTTCTGTAGTTTCTAGCTAGATTTTGTTTGTTTTTCATTGGATTTTTTGCGTTGTTTTTTAATATAAATATAAATTTTCAGAGAAAGTTTCCTATGGAAATTTTTTGCAAAAATTCGAATTTCCCGCTCTTTTTTTTTGATTTTCCTATATAACAGTCACTGCTTGGAACCCCCCGCCCCCTATTTTCCAATGTTGTTGCACCACACTCAATTTTAATACTTTTTTTTCTCCGTATTTTTTAAAACTGTGAAAAGTCTGAAAATGACGATTTTTCAGCTCTTAAATGATCGATTTTCTGGAAGAATTGAACTAGCGAAAAAATCGAAAAAAAAAGCGATAAAAATCATGGAAAATGCATCGATTGGCTCCGAAAATGAGCCGCCGAAAAAACTGGCCAAAATGCGAAGAGAGGCCGCTGAGGTTTTTCTGTATATGCACAGGTAGGATTTTGCTGAAAAAAAAACCGAAAGTTCCAAAAAAAAAATCGATTTTCAATCGAAAAATGACTTTTTCGTCTGAAATTGTTTTCAGAATTTGGACAAAAAAATTTCGGACAAAATTCATTTTTCAGCCAAAAAAAAGTCCAATTTTCAGAAAAAAAATTTAAAGGGGGACTCCGACCAGAAATTTTTATTGCATTAAAATGTGTTAAAATTTATCTATTTTCCGAANTATTATTGCGAAAAACTTTAAAGAAAATCCGAAATCC